AAAAAATTTAAATTTTAGATCCAGGGGAAGACGGGCATATTTGTTACATGGACATATTGTGTGGTGGTAGGGATTTTGTCTCAAGTGGCCCATTTCTGAGATAGTAAACATTGTGCCCTATAGGTAGTTTCTGGACCCTATCCCCCCTCCAAGAAATGTTTCTTAATAGTGGGCTTAAATATCTAATTTTTTGTAACTAAATTCTTATGGTGGAGAAAGACATGCTAGAAAACCAGAGCTATCTCTAATTCTTTGGCTTCTGGATAAAAGTATCAGATTTATAATAGGTAGTTTTTCCTTCATGTCTCTAGAGACCTCAGCAAAATAATGAAAAAGGGAAAATACCATAATGATAAATGGAAAGAAAGGGGAATCTTTAGCAAATGTGTTATTTCAATAAATTTCTAAGAGACACAAAGAAAGTAGCAATAAGATAAAAATCCTTTAGAATACCCAGGAAGGTACTTCAGTGAAGGAGAGTGCTGATCTTCCTGGCAGAATCCATGGCCCAGAGGGAGCCAATTTTGGAGAAGGATGAGAGGAATAATGAGGAAAGGATGTAGAATGTAGGGGTGTTCCAAATAAGAAAGTCTTCCCGCCGGGTTCGGTGGCTCAGCCTGTAATCCAACGCCTTTGGGAGGCTGAGGTGAGTAGATTGCTTGAGCCCGCAGGTTCGAGACCCTCCTGGGCAACTTGGTGAGACCTCATCTCTACAATAAATCAAAAAAATTAGCCGGGCGTGGTAGTATGCGCCTGTAATTCCGGTTACTCGGAAGGCTGAGGTGGAAGGATCGCTGTAGCCCAGCAGGTTGAGGCTGCGGTGGCCAGGAGCGGCCACTGCACTCCAGTCTGGGCAACAGTGTGAGACTCCAACTCAAAAAAGAAAAAAAAAATAAGAAAGTCTTCCCATAATACAACTAAGTTGACCATTTCACAGACATCTTTTTCTTTTCTCCTATCTCAAAGCTCAAATCAGGATGGCCTAACATTTTACCTCAATGGAAATTTGATAATGCTTCTGTAGAAAGGAAAAGAATTAGGACTAGTAAGTTGATTACTAGCGTCAGAGAGAAAAGTTCTCTTTTTTATTTACAATAAGTAGCATAAAGGCAAACTCTCCATATGACCAGGTCATTAGGTTTTCTATTCTTGGGAGAAAATGGTGTGGACTCATATATATATAAATACAATAGTGTAAGAAATTAACTCTTATTCCTTAAAACAAGCAAGCTCAGGACACCAGATATGATGAACCAGTAGCATAAAAGAGAAAAGCTAATATAACAAAACTGAACATTAAAAAAACTGAATAATTGATTCCAGAAGAAATGTCAATCATTCAGTGTTCAAAAGATAATATAGAAATGTGTATTCTTATAGAACTACATCCACAAAACAAGAATAGGATATTATTATAAAGGACAATAAAAGAATAAAGAGCTCATGGACATTAAGCATATTATTGCACAAATAAAAGAAATATCAATTATGGCTCACTAATATCCTAAGACATAGTCTAGAAAGACAAAGAGATAGAAAACATGAAAAAAAGAGATTAACTAAAGAGGTATAATATCCAATTACTAAATGTTTCCAGAAAAAAATGCTAAGGAGGAAATGAGGGAGTAAATAATTAAAGAATAAGGGCATGAATCTTCAGATTCAGAAGATCTCCTAAGTTCACCACATTTAATTTAAAAATTTATATGCAGTAACATATTTATTAAATTTAGGGATAACAAAAATAAAGATTCTGAAAATTTACCTGGAAGAAAGCACCAGAAAAGGAACAGAAGTCAGACTGGCAGGAGCTTTCTCAACAGCAATTTAGACAATAAGAAACAAAGAATTGATGCCTTTAGCTATTAATTGTGAGTGTAAAGAGAAAATACCTTTTGACACACAAAGATTGAGAAAGTTTACTTCCAACCATTACCATATTTGATAGTTACTTGAACATGTATTAAAAAATGTGGGTGAGGATTGCTTTTTCTCCACATCCTCACCGGTACTTGTTATCTTTTGTCTTTTTGTAATGGCCAATCTAATAGAAGGGAGATGATATTTCACTATAGTTTTGATTTGCATTTTCCTGACGAGTGGAGATGTTGAAAATTTTTCTTATACCTGTAGCCATTTATGTCTTCACTTGAGAAATGTTTATTCAGATCTTTTGCTCATTTTTCAATTGGGTTATTTGTTTTCATTTTCTTGCTGTTTAGTTGTTTGAGTTCTTTATATGTTTTAGATGATAACTCCTTATGAAATGTATAGTTTGTAAATATTTTCATCCATTCTGTAGGTTGTCTTTTTACAATTACACATTGTTAAACACATACATACTTTTTGGTAGGAAGAATTAGTTCAAGAATTCTATTATACAGCATGGTGACTATGTTTAATGGGAATATATTTTCTCTTGAAAAATGCATTATGAACTTTGCATCAACTTGGATTGATTTAGAGTGTATAATACTGAGTGATTACAGAAACAAAGAACTGAGTACCATATGTCTCATTCATAAGTGGACCCTGAACAATTATCATAATACTGTAAAAAAGGGATTGGCAGTAGTGGGAAACTGCCAGGGGAGTGAGGAGGGGCACACCTCATCAATAATGGTACCTGATCACAAACCAGATGAAGTGGGGACCAAAGTGAGGCCCAAACTTTACCTACACAATGACCATTTGTATACCTAACCCTGAATTGTACCCCACATCTTTAAAATAAAAAAGAGAAAAGTGCAATGATAGTGGCTAAGTGTTCTTACCATAAAAATGATGAGGTACGCATTTGTCAATTAGCTAGATTTAACTATTCAGCTATATAGGTATATATTTCATATATATATTATATACACACATATACTAATATATATGAAATATATAATATAAGAAATATATATGTTTAAAATATAAAACATCATGATAAATACATAATAAAAATTTTTATTAATTGTGGGCAAAAGCCAGGAGAAAATAAAGCCATAAGACATGGTGGAAAAATGTTCATCAAACTAAAACAAATTCTAAGATGCCAGGGGAATGGCAGAACTATAGAGTAATTCATTAATATTGGGAGAGAATGTGACTATATTCCAAGTAAAAATGTTTTCAAGAAGAAGAAAAGAATGGATTCTAAATGGTATTAGTATTAGTTATCTATTACTGCAAAATCAATTTACCACAAACTCAGTGACTAAAAACAACATACATATATTAGTATACAGAAATCCAGTAATAATGTAAGTGGATCCTCTGTTTCAGAGTCTCACTCTAGACTGTAATCAAAGTGTTGACCAGGGCTGGGGCTTCATATGACAACTCAGCATAGGAAGGATATATTTCCAGACTCAAATGGTTTTGATAGAATTCATTTCCTCAAGGAGTATTGGACTGGGGACTCAGTTACCGGCAGGCAGTTTCCTGAGGCTTTGTTTAGTGGTTTAGCACATGGACTTAAACAACATGGCAGCTTGCTTCATAAAATGTGCAAGCCTAGAACATCATAAAAAGGATCTGCTAGTAAGGCACAAGTTACAATGTTTTGCAACTTAATGATGGCTTTGACTTCCTGTCATTCTTACCATATTCTATTGGTTGAAAACCATATCACTAGGTAAGCCCACACTCAAGGGGAGGACATAACATAAGGACTAGCAGGAGATGGGAGTCATTGAATGTATCAGAGTCTTCCTGCCATATAAGCAAGAGATAGAATTCTTAGTGATGGAGGTAGTAAAAAAGAAGTGTATGTATATGTGTTAATGTATGTATATATGTATTTGTATACAGATATGCACGTATGATTACATATATGCATATATATGAGAAAAAATATAAGAAATTAGAAGTCTATAAAGGTAGTATTATTTAGAAGAGCTGATGAAGTATTAGAACAGAATACTCATTTTATAAACATTTAGGAATATTTTCTTTTTGTGAGGTGTAACACTAGATTCAACAAAAGAAGAAAAGTAACCATAGCACATCATTTGGCACTGCAATGGATGATATTTATGTAGTTATAATGATGTAGATGTTGTTTGTGAATTTTTAAATTTTACCTGGAAGACTTTATTATACTTACAACTCAGAATTTACATGTTTTTAATCTTGACAGTACATAAGTGAAGCTACAGCTTTCTGAAATTTGGGCAGGGTAAGAAGGGTGGGGAGAGAAAGAGAAATGGCAATTAAAATTGCTGGGACCAGAAATAAAAGTTTAAGTGTACCATTTGAATGTAGAAAAGCAACTAATTGAAGAACTAAAATAATCATCAAAATTTGGGGAAAGGATGTAAGTGGAATAATGTAATTAAGATAAAACTTCTTTCATAGTAGAGAACCAAAAGATCTTAATTTGATAAGACATGAACCAAGATGCATAAGCAAGTAGCATATTATTTAGGGGCATAGAGGTATGAACCACTGGAAGAGTTAAAACTAAACATGGTGGTAGGCATACTTAGGGTAAGAGACCTCTATTATTTATGATGTAGTCTACTCTACTTATATTCCACTATTTAAAAATTATTTTTCTTACATTCATGTAGAAATATAGCAATGTACAAAATGTCTTTATTTGTATAACAATCTTAAAAGCTACCTCTTCAGTGTACCCTGTTGATCTGCCTATAGCGAAATCTGAACTGACAGATTATGCTATTCATGAAAAATTAATTATTAATAAAATCAATGATTACATTAATCATTTCTACTCTCATCCTAGGTAAGATTAGTTGAGTTAATGAAACAAGAGCACCTGTACCAAAAGAAAACAATTGTGCTTTTTAAAAACTTGTGTACATTTAAAAACTGCACGGGCAGTTTTGTTACATGGCTACATTGCACTTTTTGACATACAAAATTAGGACCAGATTCTCGTTCCAGTGACCTATCTGACATGCAGAGACTATGAGGTCTGGCTGAGCCTTGACATCTTTCCCTTCCCAACTGTGATACTCCTTCTTTGCAGGTGATGTAGACCATGTCTTATGGCCACTACAAACAGGACAGAAGTGACTGAATTTGTCTTACTGGGCTTGTCCAGCTGGCCAGAGATGCAGCCAGTTATTTTTGGTATTGTCCTTGCCATGTACCTGGTTGCAGTTGTGGGCAATGTCCTTTTAGTAATTGTTGCCCTCTTAGACTCCAAGCTTCAGACTCCCATGTACTTCTTGCTCAGCCAGCTCTCCTTTATTGACATATTTCTGGCAACCATCACTGTTCCTCAGATGTTGGTGCACACACTGTCTGTAAATCGAACTATCTCCTATAACCGCTGCATAATACAACTGTTCTTTTTTATGACTGTGGGCAGCATGGAAGGTCACTTGCTTGCTGCCATGGCATATGACCGCTATGTTGCCATCTGCGATCCTTTGAGATACTCTGCCACTGTCAGTCGCCGCCTCTGTATGCAGATAACATTGACCTCATGGGTGGTTGTCAGCCTCAACAGCTTCCTTTATAGTGTGTTGGTCACCCGCTTAACCTTCTGTGGCAACCAAGTCACCCACTTCTTCTGTGATATCACTCCTCTGCTGCAGCTCTCCTGCACCCGACCAGTGGTCAATGAAATGCTAATATTCACTGAGGGTGTAGCTGTGGTGCTCAGCCCCTTCTTCTTCATTTTGGGCTCATATGCTCGCATTGCTATTGCAGTAGTCTGCATGCACTCAGCGGCTGCCTTGCGCAAAGTTCTTTCCACCTGTAGCTCCCATATCCTGGTTGTGCTGCTACTGTATGGTTCTGTGATCCGCATGTACCTCCGACCATCCTCCAGTTACGACTTGGACCAGGATCGCCAGGTCGCCATCTTCTACACAGTAGTTACCCCTATGCTAAACCCACTAATCTACAGCCTCAGGAACCAAGAGGTAAAAGGAGCTCTTCAAAGGCTTTATGGCAAACTCTGTATCTCAAGAAACTTCCAACCTGGTTCCCAGGCAAACAGGGAATGACAGCACATCTCCTGAGACCAAGGAGGTAAGACCCAAGCTAAAAATGTCTTGAATAGTTGGGGTGTACTCTTAATAACTGATATGAATTACATTTCCTGTTGACTTCCTCTTGGTTGGATATGAGAACAAGTGCATTCAAGAATAAATGGTCGTGGCCCCTTTTGACTGACCTGGAATCTCATCACATCAAAACGGAAAATATATTTTTAAATCACCAAGTCAAATCTTATCTTTCTTATCTTTCAGGTCTAATATGGAGCACAGAGGACTACTAAATAAAAATGGTAGCAAATCAGTATAGATTGCTTAACTTTGATTATTTCAGTAATGATGTGGCCTGCGCTATCTTCCAGAAAGAAGTCAAAGTGAGTTTTGAATAAATCAAGGGATGTCCTAAGCTTCTCTCAAAATTATAGTATGTCTACAGTTTCTCATTTCAACAATTTCTCAACTCACAGTAATAATAATCATCTCAATACTTATTGAATGGATTTAGTTATTCCATTCGTACCTTTTTGACACCCCTAGAAGAGTTTAGGTCACTAATAATAGAGACAGGAGGAGAATCTGCTCAGTGGCTCTAACACCAGGACCAAGTGGTCAGATTTGAGCTGTAAAGGAAGTACACTTGTTTAGACATAATGATATTTTATATATAATGTGTAAGAGAAAACGAATAATCAAGAATGGGTTGTGAAAATGTAAGGAATCATTAAGTGTTTATTTATTTGTGGAATAATGTGGATAGTGAGAAGCATGCAGATTTGGTTGGGAGATAAAATAAATAACTCTTTTGGCCATGTTAATTTTGTGGTTTGTATTAGATATCCAAATGGAGATGTTTCATAGACAATTGAACATATAATTCTTGAGACTCATGGAAAGGTCCTGTCAGGAGATAGAAATACCACAGGCAAAAATATACATAATCCTTGAAGCCATGGAACTGGGTAAAATCACTTAGCAAGAGAGTATAAAAAAAGAGAAGAGAATTATAGGCGGAGCCCTGTGATGAGCAGGTATGCCAACATTCAGAGGCCTGGGAGAGATCATAAAGAAAACTGAACAAGGGTACTTGTATAATGAACATTTGTGTACTTAACCCTTAATTGTACCCTACATCTTTAAAGTAAAAAATTTTAAAAAAGAAAACTGAGAAGCATCTATTGATTGGAAGGAAGCAAGTAAGTTTAGTATGTCAGAATGCTAGAAAAAGAATATTTCCAGGATGGAGGGCAGGTCATCCTCCAAATGTAGTTGAGAGTTCACTTATGAGGACAGATAATTATATTTGGCAAAATACTGGAAACTTTGATAAGAGGTGTTAAGTGAAATATCAGGGGAAAAATTCCAGTTATAATCATTTTATAATAAAATTGCAGGAGAGAAAATGGAGGTAGTTATTATAGACAATTTTTAAGAATTTTTTTTTCCTGAGGAGGTAGACAAAAGTTCTGTGTAACTTGAGGAGAACACAGAATTAAGGGAGAGTTTCTTAGAATTTTTTAGAAAAGTAATGAGATTAGCATGTTTGTTTGCTGATGGAATTGATCTGTAAAGAATGAAACATTAATGATTCGAGAGAACGTAATTGATTGCAGGAACAAGGTGCTAGGCAGGGGGTGTTCAACTATTGAGGGGACAATTTTATCCAGGGTCTGAGCCACTTCTTCCCCTGCAACAAAAATGAAATCATAGTATGTAAGTTTAGATGTAGGCAGGTTGGTGGCGAGAAGAAGACATATACCTAAAGAGGCTTCAACTGAGTAGTGGGATCAAGGTTGTTTTAGAAAATTGTAGAAAGAGAATAAGTGAAAGAATCATGCTGTAGTTTGGGAAAGTAAAATCCTAGGAAATATTGTAGGATTATCTGCCAATATAGAGTGGCCATTTGAGTATTTTGTCCACAAGTTTAATGTTAGCCAAATCAGCATTATTGGATGATGTTTTCCAACAATATTGAGGTGCTTATGTACAGACATAAATAAGAAAATATTGGATTTACCTTTGACTGGAATTTTTTCAGGGTGGGAACGAAGAGCATATTAGGTGATAAAAAATGAAGATTAATTTGAGGGGCTAATAAATCTCAGTCATGTCAAGGAATAGTTGGAGCCTAGGAACTAAGTTAAATGCCATGAAAAAAATAGAAGTGGTTAGGAGATGGGATTTTTATAATTAAGATTTTATAGATGGTGCAGTTATTGGTGATGACAATACCTAAGATATTACCATATGAGTGTGTGGCTGAGCTGGGGTAACACAGAAGATTGTTGAAGCTACAGAGGTCAGGAACTGAGAACTCAAGGGGTTAAACTGTTTATATTGATGTTTATATTTCCAAAAAGAAAAGCAGTGATAAACAGAGATAATCTGATGCTAAAGTCATCAATAAATGAATGAGAACCATTTGAGAATTATAGATTATAGTAACAAAAATAGAAAAGTCTATTTGAGATAACTTCAAAGATATTTTGAAATTTTGAAGATATGAAGAGCAAGGGTCTCATATTGGATGGAAACCAGGAACTGAAAAGCTGTAGGAACCCAAATGGACCTTCTCCATCACTCTTGAATAGCTTTGTAAATAGGATTTGTGTTGCTTTCTTTCTGCAGAACAGCCTTTTTCTTTTACTCCCCATACCTGGCTGCTCTAGGGTGAGAATTTAATTGATCATGATTGAACCATGTTCACTGTGGACTAAACAAATATGTCTAAGGGAATGGGGACACACAATACAAACATGACTCCATAGGCCAACCCTTCTGTGTGTAAGCATGTGGTTCTTAAAGTAAAAGAGTGTTCTCATTTGCTGGGTTGACATGCCCCAAAGGGTTTTATTACACTGATCCTTTCCATCTCTCTAGGTCCTCCTAGATGCCCTAGGCATTTGATTTTTTAGGGATGCAAATCTTCCCACTTCATGAGAAGATCAAGCAAGTTCTTGATGTATACTACTAATTTCTCTCCAATTTCCTTCATCAGCTTCCCAGATCTGAGTGAAAAGGAGAAATTGTCTTAACACTTATGGTTTCAATTTACACACCATGCAATTTCGAGAGTGCAATGTGGTTAAGGGTGAAATGATTATGTGATTGTATTCTAGAAGAAACATTCTTTATACAGATAAAACCTCTAGGAGAGAAGCTGAAAGAACTCTGTGCCTAATACATGCTGGAGGTTGTAATCTTTGAGTCAACATTTTTTGTTATCTTAATAATTTCTATAATTTTAATATAAAATAATTAGCATGTATTGAGCACTTCAGTCTCTAGTGTAAAGGATTTCAATTCTGTAACTTATTTAACCCTGACAGCAATCAAGGAAATGAATGCCATTATCATTCCCATTTTTAAAATGAGAAAATGGGATTATAGAGATTGTCCAAGAAGGCTATTTAAGTTATCTATTGATGTATAGTGAACCAGTCCCAAACTTAGTTGTTCAGATAGCAATGCCTTTATTGCTCATAATTCTGCAGGTCAGTACTCCAGGCAGAGTTTATCTTGTCAGTCCTTGAGTTCTCTGGTATAGGATCCAATCTGGCAGCACAACAGGGGCAGCATGGGGTTGGGGCTTGCTGTTGGCTGGACTCCTCTCTCTGTGTGGTTTCCAATGCTCAAAACAGATAGCCCAGGCTCTTCATATGGTGGTCTTAGGGGAGCCAGAGAACTGTGGTAGAAGCAGCAAAGCCACTTGAGATTGAGGCTCAAGAGACCGTCTGTGACTTCAATTCTGCCTCATTCTTTTGATTAAAAGAAGCCCAGATTTGAGCCCAAATTCAATGGGAGAAGAAACAGACTCTACCTCTTTATGGGAGGAGCAGTAAAGTCATATTGCAAATGGACTTCCCTTCATGAGTGGGAGGATATGTTGCTGCCATCACAGAAAACAATCTACCTCAGTATTGCTGCTAGTAAATGACAGAATGAGATTCAAGCCTAAGTCTACCTGATGTCAGTCATCATGCCCTTTGACACTACTGCCACAGACAACATTTTGCCCCAAGACCTAGTGGAAAGATAAAGAGATCCAAGTTCAGTCAAGCAGAAACACAAACTGTCAGTTCTAAGACATCATTTAAGTTATCATACTTATGGTCTTATACTTTTGACATCAGTGTTAAAAGTTAATTTGACTTCCTGATTCCCTTATCTACAACTTCATGATTTTTTTCCCCCAGTCCACCTGGGGATAATCGCTTTCCAGGCTGAGAGGACTGAAATGGTTTCTGACATTTGAAAGGATAATATGCATACTATTAATTCCTATTAGGTACTGGGAACTAATAGAATTCCTATTAGGTATTCCTATTAGGTATTGGGAACTGCTGTGCAAATTAGCCTTTCCCTCAGCTTTATATCTGAAAAATAGGAAAACTCACTTATTTTAAATCTCTGCATAAAGATCTTAAAAAAACAATTCACAAAAAAAGAAAGTTAAAATAGTCAACATTCAAATGAATTCCCCCACTCTATTAACTAAATGAATGTTAATCAAATCAATTCATGTGATACTTTTTGCCTATCAAATAAAAATATCGTTAGAATAATAAAGCCTTGTGCCAATAAATCAAAATCCACACTCTCATATATAGTTGGTAGCAGAGTAACTTGAAAATATTTACTAGGTAATTCTATGTCTAGGAATCAAGTTAGAAACCTTGATATACAAATATATTAATCCAGAAGTATTTGTCATATGGCAAATAAAAAATAACTGAAAGCTTCAGATGTAAGATAATGGCGTACTAAACAAGGGTATCTCCGTCAAGAAAGTGTATATGTGTGTGTGTGTGTGTGTGTGTGTGTGTGTGTATGTATATGCAACAATATGAAAATATGACAACTCAATGATAGAAAAAGTTATATAAATAGTATGATTAAATCAGTTTTTAAAAATTATGTAAATATACTTTTACATAGTAAAAAGGAAACTGAAAAGTAATACAACAAAATGTTCATCAATTTGGGATGGTAAGATAATGGGTGATTTTTTC